AGATATAGGACGTTAGTTACATGTCCTTTATAGATAACTACTATATTTTTTGCTTGGCTGTATATCATTTCACTAGCATGTCGTAGAAGGCTACTGATTATGATGTTTGCTTTGAAGTCACCGTATATCTGCCTGAGAGGCTAGAACCCTATACAGTTTGCATATAAATAAGCCAGTTTTGTTAAACGGGTGTACATGCAAATCTCAAGTTCTGGGAAAAAACCAAAGTCCACAAGAGGATGAGCAACCAGAACTTTCCGCTGGAGTTTACAGAAGAAGAAAACGACGACGATATTTCTGATCTTAAACTAGCAATGTTCTGGAGAACCAGATGTTCCCAATGTAATGGTTCTGCTTGGTAGAGTGAGTACATAAGAGTAGTTTTATGGAAGAAGGTTGAATGTAATAAAAAAAATTATTTCCCTGACAATTTCCTGGTACCCATGTTTAAGGTATGTTGATCTGTGAGCCTAGATACTAGGTACATGGGTTAGTTACACGTTAGTCTCCCCAGATAGAGTGCTCAGGAACACTACTCATTCGTTGTTGACAGTGCTCCTTCTATACATTGGCAGCTCTCTATGTAGGATGATTGCTCTCTGCACAGCTTATTTTACGCCCTTGTTTGTCCCTCGGCCACTTCAATGTCGTTATTTGTTTACTGACTGTCAACAATGAGTTGTGAATTATATATTTCAGTTTTAAACTGTATTTATGTATTTGAACTGAACTGAATATACCCAAAAGAAATGAAATAGTTAATGCATGTTTGTGAAGCAATGATGCCTTTTACAAGATGATACCTTTATAATATTTTTTTTAAGACCTACTTGAAGGCATTCAGTAGAATGTGGAATATAGGCCTAGACCTCTACTGTATAGACCAAGTGGCAATCGGTGGGTGATGTAGTCAATATCACACCGGCCGCCTTCCTTTCCTTGGTACCCATTCAAAGCGGGATCGACCTAGGAAAGTCATTTAAATCACACACGCACAAAGTATAGAAAAAGAAACAAGAAGAACAAAACACAAATCCGGCTGAGTCAGAACCTGAACCTTTAGATTCACAGGCCTCACCAGTATGAATTTTTGCCGTCCTCTACCGTCTCCGCCAACAAAAACAAAATATCAGCTTACATATGCAATACTGATTTAATTGTTCATTTTGCATCACTTACAGCGAAGACAATAATACAGTGAATTCTGTATCACAAAATAATTTTCATAGCTGGTTTGTCTCATACACCTCGATGCCTCATACAATACAAATGTCTTTAAGTCTGTGTCACTGCATTTTAGGGCGGTAAACTAGCAGGTTAGAATTTATACTTTGTCCCCGAAAGAACAAATGTCCATCACATTAAATAAGAATCGAATCCATGTCTTCCGGAAAAGATCCTGGAGTTCTAACATCTCGGTCAGTAGATTCTCTACAGAGTTGGATAAATAAAAATAAAATATGTCAAATCAAGTATACGTTTGAATGATGATTTCTGCAGATATTTAGAGCAGAACCATGTAAAACAGCATAAAGGATCATCATGGATGGTGTAGGGATATGGTATTAATTAGAACAGAGCCATTTAAAGTGGCATATAAGCAGGAAAACAGAAGTAATGGTAATAAAGACGAGAAAGAGAACTCTTCTAAGCTACATAAATCATATCCTAATATACGGAAGTGAATCATAGACAATTGATGGATTAGTGAAAAATTATTTGGAAGCTGCGGAGATGGGGTTTTATAGATGAATGATGAGAAAATCATGGACAGATGAAAAGAGTAATGAAGATGTCCTGGAGGAAACTGACTCACGAAGAAAACTGAATGCCCATATCAGAAATATACCTTCTGCATTCTTGTGAAGCAGAAAACTGGATTACCTCGTGACAGTGGGAAAGTTGGAGGAAAAGAGAGGTAGAGGGAAGCGGACAGTAAGATGCTGGACAATTTGTGATTATGGCACGGAAGATCATCCGTGTCAGTCCTGATTAAAAATACATGAGACAGAAGGTTGTAGATTGAAATAACTAACAACACCATCACTGATAAGGTAAAGTAATAATTAGAACAGAAACATTTAGAGTAGCAAATAGAATCATCAATGATAATGTTAAGTAATAATTTGAACAGAACCATTTAGAGTAACATATATAATGTTAAAAAAAAAAAAGCATAGTTATCCGATCGCGCGTTTTTATTAATTTGCAAGTAAAATACCGCACCCAGGTGTCTGAAGAGCAGACTCAAATGTTGTTTATAGTGTACAGTGGGCATATGGGCGTGAATTGTGTTGATTTTTGTAATCGTTACAATGCAGTGGTCAAATGTGTTTTTAACACCATATTTGTGTGCATAGTTCACGATGTGCGCACGAGAAAGCAACACAATTTGCGGTGAACAATTCACTGCCTACGCAATTGAAACCCTCAACTTCCTCAACTGCACAGGCATTGCCTCCAGGATGTCATGTGTCTGATAAACTGTTTTGGAACAGACTGCATGATGTTGAACTTTGGGCTCGTTGACTACACCGAGGACCTGTCCTTAGGCGTCGCCACCTCCAAAAATCGACTTCTTTGGGCCAACCAACATAGTCCCTGGGCAATCAGCGGAGACTTGTCTGGTTCAGTGACGAATCTTTCTTTTTGTTGAAGCCTTATGATAGACGGCGTAGGGTCTACCGTAGACAAAATGGGGAATGATCAGTTACGACGGAAGGAGTCAATTGGTGCACACTGAAGAAAGCTTGAATGCGCAACGATACGTCTATGAGATGCTTCGACCACATGTCCTTCCATTTTGGGAGGCCAACAGATATCTTTTTCAACAGGACAACGCCAGACCCCATTCTGCACAGTTAACCATGCAGTTCCTGGCGTCCAATAACATTCGAACCCTTCCCTAGCCATCCCCGTCTGCAGACATGAGTCCAATTGAGCACCTGTGGGATGAGCTGCAAAGACGTGTTTGTCGCTGAAACGTTTCTCCAGCCAATGGTCGTGATCTGTTTCAGGCATACCAGGAAGAGTGGGCAGCCATCCCACAGGGCCACATCAGACATCTGATCGCATCCATGCCAAGATATGTCAGTCACTGATCCACGCAAGAGGAGGCCACACACATACTAACGGAAAAGGCCTACGCTTAAAAACTATCTTGACCCAGATGCAAAAAAAAGGTGTCAGTGGATTGGTGGAACCTAATGTATTATTGTGTGAAATTTTGGTAATTTCACTTACTGCATTACAAATATACAGAAGCTCAAAATTGTTAGTATAGAATCACTATCACTTTTATATTATTCATTATAATCATCAACAGCATTTTCATGTAGTGTCTCTGTGTCGAGTAGGACTGATGGTCATTCCCCTGTTCCGTTATATTATGTGCATCATCATCATCATACCACAACACTGCGTATCGTTGGGTCACCAGTTGCTGTTCACTACAGACAGACTTGCCCACACACAAAAATAAATGGAGCAAAAGAGAAACAACACAGTCTTTCATTGTCATTACCAGAAATCAAAATACTCATCAAGGGAAAATAAAAGGAATTGTGGAGAGAACAAACAAACAGTAAGCATCTACAAGACCCTATCAGCACACTCAACAGAAAGCAACACACGTACAGGACACTGCAGGCGCAACTACCATATGAATAAAATAAACTATACTGTCCCCAAAGTGTACTTGTCAGGACCATAACCTCCTGAGCACATCTGCAGACCTGCCCACTCTACAAACAACTTAGAACAGAAAATTAACGTTTGCTGTGTGGTGAATCTTTGCTTTTTTACATTATGTGACTAATACTAGAAAAAAATAGTATGCCTATATATGTGTGTGTGTGTGTATGTGTGTGTGAGCGCGCGCGCGCTTGTTTGTATGTATGTATTTATGCATTTATGTGTGTGTGCAAAAGGTAGGTAGGTATGTATGCATTTATGTATGTATGTAAGTAGGTGTGTAGTTAGGTAGGTATGTATGCATTTATGTATGTATGTAAGTAGGTGTGTAGTTAGGTAGGTATGTATGCATTTATGTATGTATGTAAGTATGTGTGTAGTTAGGTAGGTATGTATGCATTTATGTATGTATGTAAGTAGGTGTGTAGTTAGGTAGGTATGTATGCATTTATGTATGTATGTAAGTAGGTGTGTAGTTAGGTAGGTATGTATGCATTTATGTATGTATGTAAGTAGGTGTGTAGTTAGGTAGGTATGTATGCATTTATGTATGTATGTAAGTAGGTGTGTAGTTAGGTAGGTATGTATGCATTTATGTATGTATGTAAGTTGGTGTGTAGTTAGGTAGGTATGTATGCATTTATGTATGTATGTAAGTAGGTGTGTAGTTAGGTAGGTATGCCAGTAAGGTGAATGACTCTTTTCCAAGCCTTCAGGTGTATTAGGTATATAGGGCTAGACCTATATTTTATAGAACAATCGGCACTTGGTGGGTAATGTGGTCAACATCACGTCAACCGCCTTTTCTTCCCAGGAATGTACGTGGTACCCACTCAAGGCTGGTAGGCAGTATGTAAGTAGATATAAAGTACGTGTGTGTATTGTGTACGTATGTATGTATGTATGTAGTATGTATGTAGGTATGTGGGTCAAGTTAGTTTTCTGATGGCTGGCAGAAGACATCATCATCACCTTGGGCCTGCTCATTAGCATAGGCCCTCGCCTCTCTCCACATATCTCGGTCCTTGGGATAATGAATCAATTCTTCTTCCTCTTTAAGTCCATGCTGTATGGCGTTGGTAGTCATGTCTATCAACAACCTTTTGTCTTGTGTACTTTCAATTACCTCTGATACGGATAATCTTCTATGCCATGATTTCAAATTGTCCAGCATCTGTTCTGTCTGTCTCCCTCTGCCTCTCCTCCTCCTACTGTTGGTTTATCGAATAGTCCTTACACTTTGACAAATGACCCCTGATCGACAGCGGCCTTATTATTACGGTACAGATTTTCAAAAGTCTCATTACCTAATTTTAGCAATCTGCTCGTTGGTACTGGCGGTGGTTCCTGAGTCTGGTATACTGTCTTTTCTGCCTTCTGTTGGCTGTGCCCACTTCTGGAGCTCCCCGGATCCAAAAAAGGTGAAAATTATGAATGACAAGACAAACAAAGCAGAAACGATGAGGAATGTAATTTGCCATCGGCCGCGAAGTCTCTGTGAAGGCAGGAATATGTCAGTTACATTGCTTAAATTTTGAGGTTCAATTACCAAGTTCTATATACATACATACATACATAAATTCTACATACATTCTACACACACACACACACACACACACACACACACAAGCACGCACGCCACGCACGCACGCGCACACACACACACATATACATACATACACACACATACTTACATGATATTGTCCTCTCACTCGTATCGTTGCCTCTCTTGGTCTCTTGCCTTCGACCTTTCACTCCAGTATGGTTTTTAAAAGCGTGTTATGTCTTTTAAAGTGGCCCAAGTGTTTTTTTTTTTTTTTTTTTAGTTATTTTTTTTTTTTTTTTTTTCATTTGTAGTCTTTTTAGAACCTCTGTTTTGGACTGTTTTTGTTTTCATAAAATACGATCTATTCTTCTGTATACCCATATCTCCATAGTCTCAGTTCGATTTACTGTAATCATCCAGGCATTACGAAGATCGTCGCCACGCCAAAGCCACACTCACCGGCACATTGATGTACCATCTACATAACTGTTCACTCACTAATGAGTTGACTGTAAGGTCCTGACAGAGCCTGGCGTGTTTTCAGAATGACCTAATCTCCTCCCAGGTCGACCCAACCAAAGGCGGCTGGCGTGATGTTGACCACATTACCAACAGAGTACTGATTGGTCTATAAAATTTAGATTGCAATAAAGAAGACACAGACAATAGACTGCACAATTTGTTACCTGGCGTATTTCGCTGTTTTTCGTCAGGTGCATACTACAGGAACAATTACATAAATGAAGCAAATAAGTGAATCCTTTTTAACTGAAATACAAATGCAACAACAATAAAACGCAACTGCCTGTTTAACCAGGCAAGTCGCAGGGTCAGAACCACGTCTTTTTGTTTACAAAGTTCATTATAGCCAGGCAATAAATCGTGCAATTTATCATTTGTGTCTAGTTTGTTCAAATTTACAGGGTAGAACCGTTGCTTTGATTTATAATCAATAGGTCTATACCTATATGACCAATATGTCTAAAGTAGTGAAAAATGGACATTTACTTTGACTTTACACACAAACATGAGTCAAGTACATTATGACAGATGCGTAACCAGCGTGAAAATAGCTCTTTAGTTTCTCACCTCAGAGGTTTGAGGTTTGAGGTTTGAACAACAGATCAACATCATGGCACCCAGATAATAACCCATAAGTGCTCTATTCTACTTCTAACTCAAGTCTGAGTCTAAAGTAGCTCAGCGCATTGCACGGGCTCTGTAGCACCGGCGAGGATCCTGAAATATTTTGGGTAGATTTTAAACTCTAAATTTTGCCCGGGCAGCGCCGTTAGGCTACTTTTTTTTAATTTCCAACTGCCAGGGGATTTGTTACGTGTGCAACAATACACACGGGCGTCCGATCTCACTACCCACAAAATCACTGTCCAGCTTCATCTCTCTTGATCCCAGTATGCTTTTCTTCCTTGGCAGCTCTCTTGTTGTAACGTGTATTCCAATGTTTCTCTTCTCGCAATGTGTCCAAATCACTTGATGTGACCACTGGATGTAGTCTACTTCAAATGCTTGCAGTTAGCTCTCTTATAGAGTTAACTTCTTTCAAGACATCGTCTTTCCTCTTTTAGCTGTCCATTATTTTCCCTTTATTCGTCTTTAAACCCGATCTCAGTGGATAGATCTTATCTAGCCCTAAAACAATACTCACGTTTGCTGTCAACTCCTTTGTCATAGAAAGCGACACCAGCCCAGAGAAAGTTGCAAACGTATTTGAAATACCAAAAATAACGCCCGTGTGCTGTGGCGCTATTTCTTGAAGATTCAGCAAAAATCCAGCTCCGTACTGAACGCCAGAGATTGTGTTAACTGCCACCATGATAAACACCGCTAGGGTACTGTGCGTGCAGTTTAAGAATCCCACAAAGATTAACAAGAGAGCTGGCACTAGGAATCCTAAAACAATATTCAAAAAAGGGAAAACATGTCAGTACAGGCGCTTCGTTGATAGCAAGAAATAGAAAGAAATAGTCACTACGTACCATCACAGAGGCACTTTATGCAATGACAACTGACAGAAGGAAAACGTAGGAAACAAGGCGCCTACTGGCGACACCCAGTTGCTCAGTAGTTCGCATCTTTCTAGGCAACCCTAGCTGATTTAGGACATCGTATTGGAGTCAATAACCAATTTTCTTGCACCTACCTTAAGAGCGATCAGGCGAACTTGGTATCACTCCTAAACTCTCAGACTGGCTACTATATTACCTAATTTAACGTGCCTATGCTGATGCTGATGTTCGATCCTCGACTCATCTGAGATGTTCCAACAGTATGAGCAGGCCAGCAGTGAAGGAGAGCAGCACCATGAATGGTCTCAATAGTCTCTTACAGATCGGTTCAAGGTAGCCATCAGGCTCATATTTATGGCTAGCTGCTAGTCCCTCGTACATGTGAAGATGGATGGAAGATCTGCACCCAGGTTGATCTTACCATTTAATTTCTGTCCAACATTTAGAAATTCATAAGGAGCACGTTAGTCTGGCCCCACTTGGTCAGGTTAGCAGCAGGTGGTAATACATTGTTTTAGATCTTATAAGAAAGCTCCGTAGCGACGGAGCCATACACGATATTATTCCAGGATAGAGACACTAGCATGGTATATTTCAAGGGACCTTCCCCTGATTGAAGCCGAGCATGATGGCCTAGGTCAATGGTCGGCAAATCGCGGCTCGCTAGCCTCATGCAGCTCTTTAAGTCATCCACAAATCGGTTTTGACTCAGAAAAACGTGGTTCTTGAAGTTCTTGAAAAGCAGTTAGGCTCTCAAAAAGGTTTTAATCGTCCTGCTGCTGATTAGAGAGTTTGCCGGCGACTCGTCTAGGTGAACCATATGACTTCCTCAGCTGCATTGCTTCTGGGGCAGAATCGATTGCACACTTTACCTTCCATTTGCGCCTCATCTTGAGAGCCAGCTGGATTGCGCTGACTGATATATCTAAAAACTCATGCACCATCATCGCCAGACTGGCTTTGTCGAACTTGAACTCCCCAACGAGAAACATGAAGGGCAGAATCAGCTTTGCTCTTTTCCAATAGAGATGCACGTCGGTCAGGCCTGAAGATTTCCCAGCAGTTTTCTCATGGCTGTATTGGTCTTCTTTTTTTTTTCTATGGCCTGGCATGCTTACCTTGCAGACAAGCAGAGGCCAAAAAAGCATCAGGATCAACATAAATTGGAGACAAAAGACTTGGAGCTTTCCTATAAGCCTGCTCTGGTCGACAACCAGCAGGCTGCTAGCCACTGACGCGTATGTGCTCTAACTGCTTTCTTTATGTCCAGTACAGCAGAATCGTAGACCCGGTAAGTGTTCCTAACGGATTCCTCCAGTTCTGTGTGAATCGTCTGCATTGTCATCTCACACCTGGTCATCATCTAGATCGACAAACTTATGGATATCTGGGGTTTTAATCTTATTCTCAGCCATTTGGTAATGAAGTTAAGTCTCTTCAGAATACAGCATGTGTCTTTTTCACGCTGTGTGATATACTGTGTCGTCCATAAAGGCCTTCAGGGGCGGTATCAACTTATCCCGAGTTGTAAGGCTATGACGGTAGACGAGCGCCGCATGCAGTGATCCACCTAGTTATGGCAAACAGTACATTATTGAGAGAGAAAGAGAGAGAGAGAGAGAGAGAGAGAGAGAGAGAGAGAGAGAGAGAGAGATACAGAGAGAGAGATACAGAGAGAGAGAGAGAGAGAGAGAGAGAGAGAGAGAGAGAGAGAGAGAGAGAGAGAATATCTTTCGTTTCACGACGAATGTGCTCTAGCTATAGTTATTTTGTTTTTGGTTACAGAGACTAAAAAAAAAGTAAAAACATCTAAATTATGTTACCTATAGCGTTGCTGGTCTTCCTGGCAACAGTTCGAGAGCAGATCTTCCTGGCAACGACAACATCGTAGACAGCTGCTGAGATGTTACAGAAGGCGAAGAATCCAATGTAAGGAATGGCAACAAGTCTGGGCGCCTTGGGGTATATAAAAGTGCATTATGTACCATTCTTCTTCTCCTGCTGCTGCTCCCCCTCCCCTCCTTTGCATTCTTTTTCTTCTACTTCTTCTTCTTCTTCTTCTTCTTCTTCTTCTTCTTCTTCTTCTTCTTCTTCTTCTTCTTCTTCTTCTTCTTCTTCTTCTTCTTCTTCTTCTTCTTCTTCTTCTTCTTCTTCTTCTTCACTTTCTTCTTCTTCGTCTTTTTCTTCTTCTTCGTCTACTTCTTTTTCTTCTTCTTCTTCTTTTTTCTTCTTCTTCTTTTTCTTCTTCTTCTTCTTCTTCTTCTTCTTCTTCTTCTTCTTCTTCTTCTTCTTCTTCTTCTTCTTCTTCTTCTTCTTCTTCTTCTTCTTCTTCTTTTTCTTCATCTTTTTTCTTCTTCTTCTTCTTCTACTTCTTTTTTTTTCTCTTCTTCTTCTTCTTCTTCTTCTTCTTCTTCTTCTTCTTCTTCTTCTTCTTCTTCTTCTTCTTCTTCTTCTTCTTCTTCTTCTTCTTCTTCTTCTTCTTCTTCTTCTTCTTCTTCTTCTTCTTCTTCTTCTTCTTTTTGTACACCCTTAGAAGAAATGATTGGCACATTGGAATGTAATTTACCGTTAATCAATCAATATGCCTTTCTGCATTAAACATCCAATTTTAGCAAACAATTAGTTGCATTTTGTGACACACTTGTAAATTCCCTTAAGGTTTTTTTATGTATGTATTTATTTTTTTATTTTAAAAAAGAAAATAGAGTGCCCTGGAATCCACACCCAATGGGTTCTTTTGTTTGGTATTAGATTAAATTGTATGGCTGCTATCTGTCCTCTGTGCATATGTGTGTATTTTGAAGGTATGTGCAGGTATGTATGTGTGTGTGTTATCAGGAGCGTTCCATTGAAACCCGAGCGTGCAGCATCGTGCATCGGATAACTATGTGTTTTTTTATTTAAACAGAAAAAGGCGATCAGATAACTATGCGTTTTATTTAATTTTAAACAGTATAGTTCTTACTGTCTCCATTGGTCACCTATAATGATCAACTGAACCAGAGCTCTCACTGTCGTTCATTCCCCCAGCACTCCAGTGAGTGACGTTCAACCCGACAAGGAACGCACAAGGGGCAATAAACAGCCGCTGACACTAAATGACCTCATTTGGATCATAATTACCTGGGTGCAATTCCGAGGAATCCCGTTTAACCGTTAGATTATATTAGAGCTTGCAACAACAGCCAGAGTTCGGCTTTAAAATTACGAAAAATTGCGTCTGACATTGAGACGGGAAGTTGCCAGTAACACATTACTAGCCAAACGAATAACAGACTACGAAACGAGCATATGAAAAAAATGCTTAACATTTTCACCGCGAAGATGCTTAGGTACAACTCGCGGTTCGAAAACGTGAGCTGTAGTAATGCTTCTACTCCCTGCCCACTACCCCATCCCCTAAATAAATTTGTCTTCTTCTTCTTCACTTCCTCTTTTACCGCTGTGGGTGTCGAGGGAGACATAAGGTTGTCGCTAGCTCTTCTGGCCGCCTCGACCATAGGCACATCGTGCTGTTGTAGGGTTTCTCTGATGTTATCCTTCTATTTCGTTCTTGGTCTACCTCGTGCTCTACGTCCTTCTTCTTGTTCCATGTATGCTTTGTATGGTATGGTGTCACAAGGCATTCTCTGTAAGTGGGCAAACCATTTCACATGCTGTTTGTGTATGTAATTTAGAATTGGTTCTGTGCCGACTTTTTCTCTTATGATCTCATTCCTGATCTTATCTCTTATGGTAACTCCTACAGCCCTTCTCAGACATCTCGTCTCCATGGTTACTAATTTTCTTTTATGGTTTGTTGTGAGTGACCATGTCTGGCACTGGAAGCACAGAGTTGGAATAAACATGCTTTGAATAAGATGTCTCTTTGCGCTGATTGGGATTGTCTTATGCTGTAAGAGGGGAGCTAGCTGTCCCAGTACTTGGTTTGCTTTACTGCATCTAATGTTAATTTCTTTATCCATTTTCCCATCTTCGGTAAATGTAGTTCACAGATATTTAAACTCAGATGCCTGTTTAATGCCTTTGCACTCTATTGCTATGTTTAGATATGTCTTCTTTTTTCCTATTGATATTACTTCTGTCTAATCAGTGTTGATTCTCATATTATTTGTTTTTCATTCTTCATTCATGGATGTTAGATGTTGTTGCAATTTCATGTCTGTGTCTGCTATCAAGGCCTGGTCATCTGCAAAGAGTAATTCGTTGATCTTACTAACATTTTCGTTCATGGGCTTGGCATTCTTGCAAAAACTGTCGATGTAGGTGATAAACAGCAGTGGTGATAAGACACACCCCTGTCTTACTCCAGATGTTACTGTGAATGGATGAGATGTTCCCTGATTTATTCTAACTACACTTCTACAATCAATGTATAAACTTTTGCACACTTCGATGAGGTGTTCGCTTACTCCATATCTTGCCATTACTTTCCATAATAATTGTCTGTCGACTCTGTCAAATGCCTTCGATTATTGTGTTTTACAATCCTAAAATATTTTACGTTTATCTTCTTTTGTTTTACACTCTGGCTGTTGAAATGTTGGGTTGTGGACTACGCATATGCCTTAACCACTATCTAAACAATAATCTCCTCTCTATTCTCCTCTTTTATGCGTCGCTTTGTTGTCTTGTGTGGTTCTCTCGTCCCGGTTCTTCCTACTTTGCCTCTTGCTTTACTTCTTTTCACATCAAGCGTCTACGTTTAGAACGTGTACGTAAGAACTGGATGTCGATTTGAAAACTTCTTAGAAAGAAAACAAAATATAGGCGTATACAATCGGTGTTTTTCGACACGTTAAAAGAAGGATTGGATTCGAGAACCTGGTAATAACTGGTGTAACCGATGGAAAGCGAGCATGGGGGATGAAAAGAGACAAATACCTGGATATATTCGAAATATGGATGGTACAGGGACAAGAAAACCTACCCGATCCGCGATTCTGGAGACATAGTGTGAGATAGCGAAACATGGCTACCTACGATTATTGACTCGGCACATGATGATGACGATTTAATATTGGCATTGTTTACCGAACAGAACTCAGACACCAACCTTGGCAATTTAAAACTGGTTTTAAAAAAAATTAAACTGCAGGTTTTGGGTTCAGTTTGAAGACCCCTAAAGTAGGCCTTCTAGTGAGTATGTTATGCACTGACATAGTTACGGTATAACTGGTGGCTACAATGTTTTGCTATGAGTCAGGCTCTTTGCTCCGCCCACAGACCCGTTGAGATACACTAGGTTTGTGTTGGTCAATGCGAAAGCGCTTCGTAATTCAGAGGCGACGGGTTCGATCTCAGTGATTAAGTAGCAGATCTCATTGCGTTGGTTTCGACTGAGGTAATGAGAGTCGACCGCACAGGCAGCATTGGCAAACTACTCAACGTAAAATCGGAAAGGGAAATCACCAACAAAGCATGCTGGGGTTAGTTCTGCAGCGTCTTGTAAAGGATATGTCCTAACTTTATTAACATAAAAGTCTTAACTCATATGTTTGATTTTATTCTGAGCTACGGGTATGCAGTTCGTTTGGAGGAAAAAATATATAGTCACCAATTTACTTTAAGTAATTATACGGGCCAGAGGAAGTAAAACCAGACACAATAGAAGGCACAAAAAGGAAGGCAGTATGGCATGGGATGAGGGACACAGCAAAAAGAAGTAGAACACGGTGAGTGCATGCGCAGTAGAAGCCGACTGTTCTTCAGCAAGTGTCTTTCCCTTTCAACAACTAGTTCGGCTGGTTTACCTCCCTGAACAATCTCTGGGGCTGAGCTAATCAGACAAGACGTTTATAATATTTGCACGAGGTACTGAGGTTCGGTGATCGTCGCTATGGTAGCAAATTAATGCCCTATCTTCGCGACTAGAGTGACAAATAGACGGTTGATTCATCAGACAGACGTGTATCGGACAGAAGACGTTTATTGGACAGACTCTAGCAGTTTGCAGTGCACGGGCAGGCGAAATACAGACGTGAGTGTCGCTGAGAGTGTTTAAAACGAGTAGGTTGTCCACAAACAACACTCAAGGATGGACAAGAGAAAGAAGATATGTGCAGAATATTTTAAGCAAAGATTTTAAGGCAATAATTAGGCAATATAAGTGAGTTGCCGTGGCGTATCAGCTAGATGCTCGCCTGCGAATCGGAAGGTCGTGGGTTCAAAATGACCTTGGCTTCCAGGTCGACCCAGCCTTAAATGGGTACCGGGTGCAGTCCCGGGAAGAAAAGGTGGCTGGCGTGATGATGACCACATTACCCACCATGTGCTGACTGGTCTGTAAAAATACATAGCTAACCCTATATGCCCTATACCCCTGAAGGGATTTAAAAGGGTCATTTACTTATAAGGCAATGTAATCAAGTGGACGGGGGTGAGGCGTCGCAGTAGGATTGTCTTCGTGGCAATAATATTATGCTTTTTAGCTAATAGGTTTGGTTTGTTCGGACCCCTTCATTTGGTTGGCGAGTGGAGTCGTTTAGTACATCGTTATAGATGGTCGATGGAGCTAATATGAGCTATTTTTTCGGCACATATCGCTAAAATACCCGCATTTCACTCATGGAAACGACTACAGCATAAAGGAGGCCGACACGAAATTTCGTGCTCGGCGAGATGCGTACAAATTTTTCTCTGGAGTATCTGGGATTTGTCGTCATCTGCGCGTAGGCCTTGCGTACGCAGTTCGTAATTCCATGGCGAAGGTTTAAAACCAACTGCGGGTGATTTGACAGTAGACCACCTTGTGTTAATTTTAACAGTGGCGCCAACCGTTCAGAAGGTAATGGCAGACTACAGAACGTAACATTGCCTAGTGAAATTTCAAACAGTCAAAACAATGCTGGGTTTGGTTCTGCAAGGTTCTAGGGGGATTTTTATCTGGGATTTGCCCTGTCAACATGCTATGCAGATTGAGATCCCACCCCTTTCCACCTCCCACCATCCTCCACAATCTCAGGACCTTTGAATTTCAAATACCCCCCCCCCCTTTTTTCCCCCAAGATGTGGGTTAAAAAACAAGGAACGGAATGTCTAAAGATACCTTTATTCAAATGTACCTGCATTTCCGAGAAGTAATGGACGTCCTGCAAGTAAACGATCGTAAAAGACATCAGGGCGTATAGCTGGAAGTTGAAAGCACTATGCGCGATCATATACGCCCATACAGCAGGTGATGACAGTATATCTACCCATGGCGTTGTGTGTATATACTGCAAGTGGAACATGTATAATGTTTTAGCGTTCTGAAACAGGTGTGATCATCTCTGATTGCTGAATAAAGCAATAATTCAGACGGGCGCTCCGCTGCAAAATAAAAATCCTTTGGGGTTTAATTTCACCATCAGTAATCTCACGCAAAGTGTCCTCAAGTTTGGTCCATTTATCCTTGTCACAAGCGGGCTGGAATTGGGTCGTCATCCTCACATCGAGGGAGGGAAGCTGAGATATGCCTCCAAGATGACGTGACATCACCAGCGCAGTGGGGCTAACCACTTGTATTCTAAAGTTTTGTCCACCGAGAAAGGATTCTGTTGCTCACTTTGTGGTGCATGTTAACATCTCATCTTTCCGGCATGTCTTCAGAGTTTTTTTTTCTTCGCAAAGCGTTTGACCGCCGATGCATCCTCAGCCCGGACAAAAGGCATTAATCATAGTCCAGGGACTACCAATATCCTGACCCTTTTTGACACCGATAAGTCCACTATTATACCTGCCCATTTTTTTGTTGGGGGTGGGGCAGACAGACAGACAGACGGGTAGACAGACAGACAGAAGACAGACAGACAGACAGACAGACAGACAGACAGAGGGATGGACGGACGGACAGACGGACAGACAGACAGACAGACAGACCGACCGACCGACCGACCGACTACCGACCGACCGACCGAACGACCGACGACCGACCGACAGAACGACCGAACGACCGGCCCGGAACCGACCGACGAACGACCGACGATCGACCGACCGACCGACCGACCGACCGACGCCGACCGACCGACGACACGACCGACGACCGTACCGACGACCGACCGACGACCGACCGAACGACCGACCGATAGACGACCGACCGACCGACCGACCGACCGACCGACCGACCGACCGACAGAAGACAGACACAGGACAGACCAGATAGACGACAGATAGACAGATGAGACAGACAGATAGGACAGACGACGACAGCTAGACAGATAGACAGATAGACAGATAGATAGATAGATAGATTAGATAGATAGATAGATAGATAGATAGATAGATAGATAGATAGATAGATAGATAGATAGGATAGATAGATAGCATAAGATAGATGATAGAATAGATAGATAGATAGATAGATAGATAGATAGATAGATAGATAGATAGATAGATGATAGATAGATAGAAGAGAGCTAGATAGATAGATAGATAGATAGATATAGATCAGATAGATAGATAGATCGATAGATAGATCAGATTAAGATAGATAGATAGATAGATAGATAGATAGATAGAGAGATAGATAGATAAGATAAGATGATAGATAGATAGATAGATAGATAGATAGATAGATAGAGATAGATAGATAGCATAGATAGATAGATAGATAGATAGAAGATAGATAGATTAGATAGAACGATAGAACGATAGGTGTATAGATATATAGGTAGATAGAATTGGGGGACAACGCGTCTTATATTCGATAGAGACAAACACAGGTCTTTCACACTGCAGATAGCATAGATAAGATACAAAAGCAGTAATATTTTATTATAGATCATGATAGCATAAAATATGAGTAGCTAAAAAAAAAGAGAAGAAAAAAAGCACAGAAATGCAATTGGGTGGGGTAAAATGCGAGCACACGCACACACACACAGCACACACACACACACACACAAAATCACACCACACACCCATTACACTCACTAAACACACCCACATACCTTCACACGACACATAAACACACCCCATTCACCCATACATACAAAACTAGATACACACACAGACAAGCCTCACTTAAATACACCAGCATTAGGTATACACACACATAAAGACACCCCATTCACCACATAGGTTAGAACATATCCACACAGACACGCACTCAGGTAGAAACACACCCACATACCTGAGAGACACACATAAACACACCGCATTCACACCAAACAAAGATTCCATTATCCACACAGACACGTACATTCGACACATAGGATACATAGATACACAGAGATAAACACAGGAAACCAACCCATAGAACCAGATGCAGACACACTAGAGACACACAAACATACGAGCACCTAGATGAATCACAGACTCAAGATACAGACGAGCGCTAGATGGAGACGAGAGATAGACACAGACACCCACAGACACCAGGGAGAAACAAATACGCAGACATAAAGATACAGATGGACACACACGCAGATACATTATACAGACACATGGTTGACACATCCAGGAGACACTACAGGAAGAGATACACACAGACAAACCACATTACAGAGACATACACAGATATCACACACAGAGACGCGCAGATAGATAGGTAGCTAGATAGATAGATAGATAGATAGATAGATAGATAGATAGATCGATAGATTAGATAGATAGATCAGATAGATAGATAGATAGCATAGATAGATAGATAGATAGATCGATAGATAGATATATAGCTAGATAGATAGATGGATGGATAGGTGGATAGATGGATGGATGGATAGATGGATGGATGGCTATGATGGATAGATGGATCGGCATGGATGGAGGATGGATAGATGGATGGATGGAGCGAGGAGGGATGGATGGGATGGATGAGAGCGGATGGTATGGATGGATGGATAGAATCGATAGATGAGATAGATGGGATAGATAATATATGGATAGATGAGGAAGGCTATGATAGATAGATACACGGTAGGTAGAAGATAGATAGCATAGATAGAGATAGGATAGATAAGCATAGATAGGTAGGGTAGGTAGATAGATAGGTAGACAGGTTGACAGATAGACAGATAGACAGATAGGGCAGATAGACAGATAGACAGATAGACAGATAGATAGATAGATAGCTAGATAGATAGATCAGATAGATAGATAGATAGATAGATAGCTAGATTAGATAGATAGATAGATAGATAGGATAGATAGATAGATAGATAGATGGAGAGATAGATAGCAATAGTAGATAGATATGATTAGATAGATAGATAGATAGATAGATAGATAGAAAGATGGATGAGATAGATAGATATGATAGATAGATAGATAGATCGATATAGATAAGATAGAGTAGATAGATAGATGGATAGTATAGATAGATGGATAGATAGATTAGATGGATAAGATGGAGAGATGGATAGATAAGACAGATAGGATAGGATAGAGAGATAGATAGACAGATAGATAGATAGATAGATAGATAGTATAGATAAATAGATAGATAGATGATAGATAGATAGATAGATAGATAGATAGATGGATGGATAGATAGATGGATGGATGGATGGATGGATGGATGGATGGATGGATGGATGGAACTTTATTTGGAATGGTTACCATTGCGCACGAGTACTTATATGCGGCCCTTCCAAAAATGGATGGTCTTTATGGACTGCAGCTGTATTTTATCAATAAGCAGTAGATAGACTTTATAGATCGATCATGTGCATAAGCTAGATATATTAAGAAAAAGAGAAGATAAAAGAAGCACAAATCAGATCAGGTGGTAAAAATGCATCACACGCACAGACAAACAGTACACTACACACAAACACACACACACACACAGATCACACACACACACCCATACACTCACTTAGATCACATAACCCATATCACCTTCAAACACAAACATAAACACACCCCATTCACCATTATACAAAACTACATACCACACATGACACCGCACTCATTAAACACACCCCATACCTTCATACACACATAAAGACACCCATTCACCCCACATACAAAGCTACATATAATAGGAAAGTATAGACACGCACTCACTTAAACACACCCACATACCTTCACACACACATATGACAGAACAGCATTCACACTACAAACAAAGATACATGATCCACACAGACACGTACATTCGACACACGTACAAACACACAGATATAACACCAGAGACACACCCCATAGAAACCAAATGCAGGACACATACATAACATTAACACATACGCGCACATACCCCAATAGACACACAGATACACACGCGCGCTAGAGGCTCACGCCAGATACACAACACATAGCACAGGACACACACAGGTAGAAACAAAATAGATGGACAGAAATATCACAGAGGCAAACACGCCAGATTACACAGACACACAGCTAGATTGACACATCCAGAGACACACAAACAGAGATTAACACAGACAAACACATATAAAGAGACATACACAGCATACTAGACAGAGAGACGCGCAGATAGATAGATAGATAGATAGATAGATAGATAGATTTTTTTTTTTTTTGATACGTATCAGAAACCATAGATAGATAGATAAAAAACCCTTTGCGCGCGGTACTATGGACTAGATCGCAACCCCGGCATTGATTCCATCTATATGGTACGTTAATCTGGATGAAATGGATGGCTTTTTTGCCTGACCCACGCGGACGTGAACCCGCGACACGATGGAGTTCGTCACCCGAGCCGCCCGCGAAAGGTAGCGTTTAACCAACTTCGCCTGGAGAGCCGGATGGATGGATGGAGGGATAGATGGAATGGATAGATGGATAGAGGGATAGAGAGAAGAGAGATGGATATATCGATAGATGGATAGATAGATAGATAGATAGATAGATAGATCAGATAGAGAGATAGGAGAGATAGATAGAAGGATAGATAGATAGGATAAGATAGGTAGATTCTTTTTTAGGGAGATAGACAGATAGATAGAATAGATTAGCTAAGAAGATAGACAGAATAGACAGATAGACAGATAGACAGATAGATAGATAGATAGACTAGATCAGATAGATGGAGACGATGGATAGCATATGATGAGATAAGATAGATCAGATAGATGGAATAGATGGATAGATGGATGGAGGGATAGATGGATTAGATGGATAGATGGGATAGATGGATAGATGGATAGATGGGATAAGACGATAGCTAGCATAGATAGATAGATAGATAGGAATAGGATTTTAAGATAAGGGGGGGATAGATAGATAGATAGATAGATAGATAGA